TTGGGCCCCCTATAGTTTGTATATGATTATTTGGGTCTTTTTTTTTTTTTTTTTTTAACATTGATTTATTTATTTGAGAGAGTGAGAGAGGAAACAAGAACGAGTGGGGGAAGGGCAGAGAGAGAGGGAGGCACAGAATCGGAAGCAGACTCCAGGCTCTGAGCTATCAGCTCATAGCCCCACATGGGGCTTGAACCCAAGAACCATGAGATCATGAGCTGAGCTGAAGTTGGATACTTAACCAACTGGGCCGCCCAGGCTCCCCTCTTCAGGTCTTTGTTTTTCCTTTTTGTCTGAAAGATTCTAGTTGGCAGCTGATGGGGTGGGCACAGGACCTACCTCAAACAATTCCTAGAATAACAGTGAAGACATCACACCAAGATAAAAAGGAGTACCACTCATGACCTGAGGTCTTCGACCAACTATACTTTCTTCGCTCTTCTATTAGAAGAAAGGAAAAGTAACAATGACAGAACAAGATCTCTTGGATTTTTGAAAACTAATTACACATGTACACACACCCTTTCAGGGACAGGTCAGGTGTTCGTAAAGACAGAGCCTAATGACTTTTAAACTTGACATATCTAGTACTAAATACCAGAAGTTAACTCCTCAGAAACCAATGCTGGGGAGGGGACAGCACCTGAAACTTAGTTTACCACAGAATTAGGCACTGTGGTTATAACAACTCTCCCACCCATCTCCAGCCCAAGTTCAGGTAAACCTGGATAATTCTGGATCTATCTCCATGCAAAATGTTCAGGAAAAGAAGTGGGTTAACTCCCAAGTAAATGGAACATTCTGGGCCCTAGAGCTCAAAGATTCTGATTCAGTAGGTCTGGGCAGGCCCCATGAAGCTGCATTTCTGGTAGTCATCCCAAAAGATTCCAAGGCAGGTACGCTACTGACTATACTTCAAAAAGCTGATTCCCAAGACTGCTTGCTTGCCCATCAAAAACACCTGGGGAGTTTTCTGACAACAGATTCCCAAGGTCTCCAGAATCTCTATTTTTAAAAACTTCCTCACATGAGGATGTATAGCCAGATTTAGGAATCACTGAGGTAGAATATCCAAACTCCCAACTATAGACTGCAAAGTTTCTAGAGAAGCATAGATGTTCTCCTTCATTTTATGTATCTCCCAGCCCTTTACTCTCAAAAATCTCTCATTCTGCTTCTGAAGATGACACACGCACCAGAAGATGCCCCTTGGTAAATCTGTACAGGTTGGGTGTCTCACTGTATATTCATCAGTTAGTCCTAAAGTTAATTTTTTAATGAGTGCTGGCCTCCAACAAAAGGCAAGGAGGAAATATCCCGGGAAAAATCAGAAAACCAGAATTCTGGTACCTGCTCTACTGCTTCGTAGGCATGTGGTCTTGGACTAGTCATTTAAACAAACCTGGGCTTCAGATCACCTGTTATGTGAGGGAGCTGGCTAAGATCACCTCAAGGACTTTTCTGATTCTAACATTCTATTACTCATTCCTTGCATCATAAAATCCATTTCACTCCTCTAGAATGCAGCATCAGCAGGTGTCAAGGACTCTGAAGTGCATAAACTCAAAGAGATGGACCGACATCAGCTAAACTGTACAAGCAGCAGTAGCTTCTCATGATGAATGCCTATAGACAGGAAATGGAATGAAGCATAAAGCTGGGCACAAAACCAAAGAAAGGGCCTGAAAAACAACATAATAAATAGAATTTAAGCCAACGAGAAGATTACTATATGTACTACTGAAGAGATTTCTTAATGTATTTCTCTAATCCTCATTCTATCAAAATAGTGACATTAATTTGCCAACAACAACACAATCTAAAAATTATACACTCTTTTTTTTAGGACTTAGGAAAGAGGCACACACTTTCCTATCCGATTTTTTTTTTTTTACCTGAGATAGTTTCCTAATTCAGCATTATTTAAATAAGGAAAGGTTTAAGAAAAATGAAAAACAGTAACTTAAATATTCTTTCCCAACAGTGACCTCATAGTTTTCTTACAACCCAAACAATTAATGCCCACTTCTTACAAAATCGGAATACAAAGAGCTGGCCCAGGAGCTCTCAGGGAGGTAGGATAAATTGGATAATTAGACCAAGGAACTCAAATTTAACCCTAAAAATGTGTACTGAGAAACTGCAAAAATTGGCTGATGCTGAACACCACAGGGCAAAGTTCAAATCCTCACACATTCTTTCAATTTTTCTAGATATATTAACAGCACCTTCTTAGGAAGACAGGCCCACTCTGTAAAGTACAACCATTCAAAATCCAGTTTTAGAAATCCACCATTTACTGGACTATTTTGTTCTATACAAATATTTACTAAGAAAGAATTAAAAACGATATAAAAAATAGATCTGAGATAATTTATGATTGCAGCTAAATGAGTCAGAGCCTTCTGAACACTGTTTTAACCCATACTAACAAGAAGAGGTCAGTGGGCTAAGTCAAAACACAGTTACTAGAGGAGGTCCTTTATATTCTACTTGCCTACTCGACTTTTTAATCCATTATATAGTTCATTACCATGGATGTTCATCTTTGACACATGCTCATACTGTGCTGATATAAACAGGTAACAGAGAAGTTTCAGACTGGTAATCAGTTAAATGAAAGCCTTTATATGCTGAATGGAAATCTAGTATTGGGGCAATATCCCCTAAAATAAGTTCTGTGGTCAAATAAGGCCAAAACTAATTTCTTTACTGTAGGATTTTAATATATGGTTTCTAATATGCCAATGATCTGCAGTTTGGCTTTTAAACAGGAATCTATGAAGGGCAACATTTCTCAAACTTGTCAATGGTATATTCATTTTAAAGAACAAGTATGGCTGTGTCTTATGAAGTGAAGTTTAGAAAACATCTTCTGACCCTCCTGTTCACTATGGATTTTCCTAGGTACTCTGTTTGGTTACTAGAGATTTTAAACAGAAATTTTACCATGGTGGAAAACTTAATTGGCCCCTTCTTACTGAAAAGACAACAGGGTGTGGATGGGGGGTAAAGGAAATGGACAGGAAATACTAATGCACTTTGCCAACACCTAACCATGTACTTCAAATCACCATGAACTACAGCTCTTTTAGCACTGCTTATCACACTAAAGACAGGGAGGCAAAGGGTCTGAAGACACAGAATTCCAACTAATCCAGCTGCACCATAAAACAGATCTAATAAAAGACTTCTGAAAGAATAACGCAATTCAAGACTGACCAGAGATGAGAGATAAAAATCGGTGAGATGTTTTCTGTGGAAGATGCCTAATACAAAGGACGTATGATTTGCTTCATATTTTCATCTACTCTCAGTATCATAACAAAAGATGTACCTGGTTCAAGTTTTGTTTTTCGTTTTTTGGGGTTTTTTAATAGTAGGGATAGCTATTAAGGTGTCAAACAAGAAATCACATCATTGATGTCATGGCCTTTATACCATTTATTACATAGTCATTTATGTCAAAGAGGTTGCAAAATTCATGTACAAAGATGCTGTTTTGCTAAGAACATATTAATAGAATTCATGGTCAGGACAGACAAATATAAGAGTTATTTTCTACTTTTTCCAACTTTTCAAAAACCTTTTCTTTATAAATTTCATGTATGCAGTTCACACAGATTTTAGAAAAAGAAATGGAAAAGTATTATCCATTTCATTATCAGCATTCAAAAACAACAAACAAATCTTCCCAATGGTGTCATGGTGAACATCTAACATAATTAGTTAAAATATAAATACTCAGTATGGATTGATGACAACCAGGTTTTACTTAGTTTTTACTTGATTTAAATAAGTTCTCTCTGTGAGCCTCAATTTGTAGCTCAAGAAAATATGACTGTGAGGCCGGGCAGACGTGATAGTCTAAGAACTTACTCATTCACCCTGGAGACGGTAAGCTGCTGTCTTGATAAAAGAACACCTAAAGGTACTATTTCAGGCAAAGTATAAAATGATCTCAGAAATTTCCTAGTGAGACCCCTTTCTCTGCCCTCTCCCTCATTTTACCAAGGGAGACCTGAGGCCAAGAGTGGACTTGTCCATAGTCACAGGACTAAATTTCAGAGTCCCAGTCCAACTCTTGACACAGTCTATAGGTATTCTTTACCCATTTCAAATATTTAGTTTTGCAGTAGGAGTTATAAGTCACGTAAAACAATTTTATATTCACCAATTTTAACATTAGCATGAGAAATTTAGCCTTTGTACACCTCACATATTCTCCATGTCTGAAAACAACTCCTGAGGGAAACAGGAACCCTTGTATCCCAAGAACAAGAACATGTTCCTCATTTAGGCTTTGGCTTCTTCTAAGAATTCAGTCAAATCTTACAAAATACTAAGGATATTTTCCACCACCTAATATTCAAAATGTATTATCAAAGGCCAAATTACTCATCCTCTCATTTTTATCTTCAGGAGAAGAGGAGCACTCTTATGCCACTTTCTCCTTTACTCATCAAGGAACAAAACATTAAATCCTGCTACACTCAAATTATATCAGTACAAATATTTATACACTGACAACGTGAACACCACCATTTACTCTGTCATATATATTATAAGCAGGACTATACAGACTTAAGGAAAAAGACATTTTAAGAGGTTTCTTCCTTCTTCCAGAGTATTCTTCTTATAACTCATTATTAAAATGCTCAATCACATAAGCTTAGGGAACTAAAACTAAAGGTCAACATGACACTTTCTGTCCCATACACACATTTTTAAAAACAGTTTTCAAAGATGTTATTATATAGCTCAGGGTATATAAAAGTCTATAGTTATAACATAAACCGCCCATAAAAAGGATTTTATGCTTTAAAAGAAAAACAAAACTCTAAAACCTAAGTTTCATGCTCCTGATGTAACCAGTAACAGAGAAGGTACTAGACTGTAAAACTGCATCACTGAATGATCTACTAGGAGGAAACCCATTATTTTCTCACACCTTGAAACGCAATCCTTTACAGGTGAGTAACCTATACAAAACTGCATACCTGTTATTTTGTCTCTTACAAGCTTACAGGACTCTATCTCACCAATGCTCCCAAAGAGACTCTTTAGTTCCTCCTGTGTCATGTTCTGAGGAAGGTAGTTGACTATTAAGTTGGTCTTGCTGTCCTCTGTGTTCCCAGAGTCAACCGGTGATGAACAGTTGTTGTTTATGGTGGTTGGACCATTGGCTGTGTTATTGCAAGTTGGCCCATTAGACAGTTGTGTTTCCATGGCAGCAATTACCTGCTAAAAACAGAGAAAATAAGAAATGTCAGAATTCATATTTCACAAACTATTAGAGATTCCAACCAAGAATGTAAATATGTGTCACTAAATACAAGTCGTTCTGCTGAAATTACAACAAAGCTTCAACAAAAAGTGCAACACCTACACTAATTTCTACTTCATATATTAAGCTAGTCAATTTAAGTTCACAATTATACTTTCACATACATATACCATACATGCACATAAAAGCACAATTTAAATGTTAAACATTCTCTAGAACGGCACTCTGGGTCTACTCATATACCCTTACTCACCTGCAGTGTCCACAGACTCGAGGAAACATAGTACCAAAGGGCACAGAATTAAACCCTGACTATAATACATACTATGAAACAGAAGTTCTTAACATGCTACCAGAAAAACAAACCAAGAATTGGTCTTCCTAACTCTGAAGAGATTTTCAGTTAAGCCTAAGAGTTTCAATATTCTAAAACTGACAGACATCCATTAACTTAAAATCAAGGAATAAGAGTACTTTAAAAAATATAAATTTGTCAACATGTACTGTTTTGGTTACATATTGAAAATGTTTTTGATTGACAATATCTTATACTTCTTCTGTTGGCAAGAACTAAGAAAAATATCAGATGTTAAGTGTTAGGGCATGAAAAGGATTTGCAGGATAACTTGGAAAGGAAGCTAGGCATACGTAGTGTACCTTGTAGAACCTAACAAGCCATTCTTGTCAACCCTGGCAGCTAAAGATCACCAACAAGACAACTGATCTACGCATCAAAATAGAATCCCCAAATAATGCAGTATGGCATTCTGCCTCAATTCTGACTTTGAAAGGGAAAAAAAAACCCAAAAACCTACCCAGTCCACCAAAACAACAATATAAGTATTTCAACTTTTACAAACAGACCAGCCCAAGGACTTTTCATTTGAGCACATAAGCCTGTTAAAATGCAGGTAATAAGGTATCTATAAAACTCCAAATGCAGGATAAATAGCAGATTTGGGGGAAATGGCCTCAAACTGTTTAGGCCAACCTAAAAATCTAGTCATTAATAAGCAAATCTGGATCTAGTTTCCTAAAAATCAATGCTATGCTCTTTGAGCAAAAGAGTCACAAACCACAGCCCCAAATTTTCTAAAACCATCTTCCAATAGCTATCTACTTTGGACAGCCAAGACTGGGGAGGAATCCAAAAATCAAAGCATCACTAAAAGAATTAATCCTTCACATTTCATCCAGTGCATGTCTCATCTCCACAAAGAACAACTTCTCAAAACTGACAATTCTGAATTGATGGAATGTTAGTTTTAGGGAACTTCTTTAACATATGAAAGGCAAAGAATTTGAGGCAAAATTTTTAAAAAGCAAAGTAGAGGGAAAGAGTATTACATGAGAAAAAAAAACATTTTGTTTTTTTTAAAAAAGCATACTGTCTAAGAAAAATAAAAGGGCACAACAGTGGATAAGCATAAAGGAAGAAATCTCTACTGCCAAGAGATGTTTATAAAAGAGGCAGCTTAGGATAGATGGAGACTGGTCAACTGACCAGATTAACACTGGACAAGTGTTAATTAGACTGGACAAGAATCAGTACTATCATGATAACAAAAATAGGAGACAAAATCCAGACCACCTATGAAATATCAAATAACCTATAACCCTCTATGACTTCATTTCCTTTTCAAAGAAATGGGTTTTTCTACAAGCTGAATGCTATCTCTCTTGGTTAAGTGTTCTCAGGGAATACTTAAAGGAATAAGGGAAAAATAAATCTCTGGAAATCTGTAAAAAAAAAAAATCAAGATATGAATTTTATTATAATTTGTCAATTATATTATATTTATCTGAAACTGAGAAAGGAGTTTTCAAATTTCCAACTGTTCCAGTCTGCAGAATATTCACTGTGGGTCACTTTCCACAGCAAAACTCTTGTGGAATTAACCTTTGCCCAACATTTATAAAAACAAAGAGTTGCAAGATCAGAGTGGCCAAAGCCAATTAAAACAAATCGCTATTCAAAAGTTAGGGTATGTGTAGAAACTATGTGAACCCCAAATATGAGATTTGGACTTAACTCACTGGGATGACATTTGAAATATAAAGTGTTCATTGACTGAAATTAGCAGGATTTAGCAAGGACAACAAACACTCCTCACTTAATTGCACATTTATTTCCATGTTCAGGTGGCAAGAATGAGCTCCTAAGCCAACATTCAAGTGAACAGCTGCAGTAGGCTGTGTGCGCTGAAAATTACAGCATCTCTCAGCTATAGGACCATCTGCTCAGAATAAAATGATACTAATGTGCTATATTTTACAAATAATGCATATTCCATTGATAGGCTCAACACAACTGTTCACAGAATGCAAACTCTTTCAACAGTTACTGGGCAAATAATTTTCAGCCAGATTTACAATTTCAACAATTTTTTTTTGAGCATCAGGAATTGTAAATAACTTCAAAATTTAGTAACCAAAAAAATACATAGTAAACAGAATGTAAAGAATTACGGTAACTTAGTATTCAGACCATACCAAAACTTTTTTGTTTTTTTTTTTTTTTTTTAAAAAGCTTGTCACTCTTTGAGTCTGCACTAAATCCTAATTTCGATTATAAAAAGTTACATACAAAAGCATGGTTCTGATGCTACATACACCACTGTGGTTAAAATTGCAATGTGCTTTAAATCCTAATGATGGCCATACCGCAATAGGTTAAATGTAAGAATAATTAGTATGCCAAATGAAAAGTTCAAGTGTTTGGTATGGCCTCAGCACTCCTGCAACATGCTAAAAAAAAGTAGCCTACAGAATTTAAGAAAAATCCCACAGACCCCAGTCCAAGGCTCTGCTGCCCACGAACCACTTCTAAGCAGAGAAGCCACATCACACAGTCTGACTGCCATGTTAGTTTGGAGTTGCCGTCTGCAATATGGACACAAAAAGTACCGTATGTTAGATGAGCAAGATAATGCAACAAATCAGTTTGTACAAAATTTACAGTGATTGTATTGATATTCCCAGCACGTCCATGCAGTGTGGCTTAATTGAATTTGAGGCAATTCCAATCTAATCTTTCCAAATTCATTTTTACATGTAGTTTTCTTGCACAAATTAAGCATTTTTAATTAAGAGCCTGATTTTCAAACAGTATTAACTAGTTACCTTGACATCTATCCTGAAGAACTACCTTAAACCACATCTCAAAAAATTTTTTAAATAAAATGAAGCAAAACACTGCATGCTGTCCTATCTCTCAAGGATGTGGGAGAAGGAAGGAAATGTGAATGAAACTTATAGTGAGAAAAGGCAGTCATGCAATTCATAAGTGAATGCTTTGAATAAAAGCGCTTTTTCCCCCCAAAATATCAGAGAGGCATCAAGGGAAGCTATATTTGCCCACACTGTTACATTATACTATAAATGATCCTTAATACTGGGACTTAAAATTAAAAGTGAATTGAAACCCTGTGAGGTTATTCTGCCACTATAGTCCAACTGATCTCTAACAGTTTCACTGAGAATTGTTCACATATACTAAAAGGCAGTAAACCAGCATCTTTCAATTGAAATAATTGGACCAATAAATAGGATTGTTTGGAGTAATGTTTATACAGGATGTCAGCTTTGTCCCTGAACGAAATCAAGTGAACATTTTTTAATATGTAAATTGTAAACACAGCACGATTTGAAATTAGTGCTGCTATGAGGCCTCCAATATAGTTAATGAGCCATTTACCACTTATTACAACTTGCCCAAATACTAAACAGAGCCACAATATTGGCACAAAAGCCAAAGTTTACATTTTAAGCCATATATGCAGATCCTTTAAATGGCCAACAGAATATTCAGAAAACCTCAAATCTCTGAAAACAGACAATGAATAACAAAGGAGGGCCAAAAACATCTTTTACTTGGTATCTATGATTATAAAAATCTCATCCAGAGTTACACCTGGGTGTAAAGTGATTTACTCTTGATGCAAATGATGACATTAATTAACATGTAACAATGGATTCCATTTTCTGGCATACAAAAAGGTTTAACATACACTTTATAGGATGCCATGAAAATGTTTTACACTTCTTCCCTTCTCCCACTGTTAACAGAGAATTCAGCTGGATTCTGTTTTTCATTTAAAAGAAAAAAAACCTACTTACAGTGGAACTAATCTGTGAAAAAATAAAGTGCTTTTTATACCCATGAAATATTTTGACAAGAAACTAATTGTGGTTAGACCACATGGTAAAAGAGGTAGGGCCACACCCGAGAGGTTCAACCACGTTTCAATTTATATCCTGAATACCCCTGGGAATTAAAGATCTCAACATTCTTCACTACATAAAACCACAGATTCACATTTAATGGCCTCAGTTCCTTCTATTCCATAGGAGGCGACGCTAATAAGCTAATGTATTGATATCCTTCTTTCTGAAAGCCCCAGGGATGTGAACAATCCCTTCATTGCACCAACTAGCTAGGAAGGCTGCGTATGGAAAATGATTCTACTGCACTTTTACATTTCAAGCACCCTAGACAGTTTCTCTGCTTGAGGCAGACACATACCTTTATGGGAAGTTATAAATAAGTTGCTCACATGGCCCTTACCTTTATGCTGGCCAACAATTCAGTTACTAAAAATGTAAAGCTACTTCCCCTTCACTTAAGGACAGGCGATTCTGCTCTACTCAATCTACCAGAGACAACCGGCCTGCACTATTTATAGATTCTATTGCCTCTGAAACTCTTGGGAAAGGTGGGGGGTGGGGGGGAGGCCACATTCCAGGAACACAGAACCATTCATTTTAAAGCTTAAAAAATGTTTCTTAATTTAGACATCAATTGTGCCAATTAAATTTTCGCCTGTTATTCTCCATGTAGTAATTTATGAAAAGGCACTTTAGCATAGATCAATCTAGAATATTCTAAACTCCCTGGGCCCCAAGAAATAACGATGAGGTGTTAGTTTGGTGGAAGCATGATTTTACTTCG